TTTTGGAGTCATGAAAGTTAGAGGAACCCCTGAAACTATTGCCCTGAGATAAATCTTTAAACCTTAAACTAGAAATATTCCCTGAATTCTCAAAACCAAACAATAGTTTAGCTTAGGTAACTATTAGTAAAGAATGTCTGCCTTGAACATATGTTCTTTGGAGACAGGATCAAATTCACAACAGTAACTTGAAAGAGTGGGCAGGAACTTTATGGAGCACTATGTTTATGTTAACGGAATAGGAATAGTTCAAAAAAGGAGGGCAAGAATGGTTTTACAACTTGAAGAATGTAATCAATGTCACTAAGTTATACATAAGGAAACAGTTGAATCGGTCTATGTTTTGCCATCTACAATCTAAACCACAACAAAAAAATAGAAAAAAAAATTGTAGCCACTAAAATAGTTGACTAAATTGAAACAGTAAATCTAAAATAGAAAATACAAACAAAAAATGTTATTGCTAAGTTATCCAAATATCATATAACACATGGTTAAGTACTATACACCAAAGAGACTCAGGCATATTAGATAACTTATATTAATGCCAGCTTGGCAAACACATATGCCACCTGTCCTTTATACTTTGATAATAAAATGAACTGATGGGAAAACGTATCATGCATATAAGATTTCAAAAGGAATATATTTCATAACAACCGTTTTAGCCAATATCTTCTCTAAGCATATAGGGCTATTATACCCCTCAGGGTTTTTAAGGGAATAAATAAGCTCATTAGACTATCATCCCATTCCATTTCTAAAAGAGTATTATGGTGTATGTTAGAAGCAAATTATTACTATTGCTAATATTCCTCTAAAAACGTTCAATTAGTATCAGTATACTGCCAGCATACTTCACTTCAGTCTACCTTCTTTGAAGAAGAAAGTTAGCCAAGTCATTTGTTATGTTATGTATCGTTTCCATAGCAAAGGTCTGTGCCTGCTTAATTTAACTAAAGCTGGAGAGCTAAAGTCTGCAGGTCACTACAGGACAGAACGGAGCAGCTTCCTTAAGAGCCAGTCTATCAGTCGTTCTACTAAATTACTATGTGGAAAGAGAATCTGAATATACTAGAAACCTAACAGTAAAGATAGTAAAAAACATCAAATTAAATGTCTCTAAAATTTACTTCTCAAAAGTAAAAATATTAACATACTTTAAAACTTGCCACGTGGAAATGGATTTTGGTGTACAAATAGAAAGTTTAAGCTACAAACCTCATTGTTCAAATATCGTAACTTTTTGGGTAAGGCAAAAAATAATTTATGTCATAAAAAACCATGACTGCACAAGGATGCTTCAAAAATTCATGGGAAAAGTTAATTAATTCTTAACTCCATTTCCCAACCTTTTGAAAGCACCTCACATAACATGTAAGATTCTTTTTTAACTTTTCATTTCAAAATAATTAGTCTCATAAGGAGTTACAAAAGTGTGCCTTCTCCCAACTGTAATATACAAAAACTCCAGGGGAGGGAGGGAGAAGAAATGGGGAGCTGATATCAGGGACTCAAATGGGAAGAGAATGCTTTGAAAATGATGATGGCGGCATATGCGCAAATGTACACTGGAGAAATGTATGGATTGTGATAAGAGATGTAAGAGCTCCCTATAAAAGTATTTAAAAAAAAACATGTCCAAAAACTCACTATCATTGAGTCAATGTTGACTCACTGCCACTCTATAAGACAGGGTAGAAGTGCCCCTGTGGGTTTCTGAGACTACAACTTTTTTCTTTTTAAAAATATATTTATTTTGTTGTTGCAAATACACATAGCACAACATACACCAATTCAGTTTCTACATGTGGGTGTACCACATTCATGCATATAGTTGTAGTAAAGGTAAAAGTCCACGTACAAATGTCCTCTGTCAAACATGTACGTATACACATTTTTTCTTTTAATCACTTTACTGGGGACTCTTACAGCTCTTACCAAAATCCATACATCAATCCATTGTGTCAAGCACATCTGTATATTATGTTATCAACATCATTTTCAAAACACTTTCTTTCTACTTGAGCCCTTGGTATTCAGGCTCATTTCCTCCCCTAATATTTTAATAACAGTTTTATCAGCAGATAATTTACTTATCATACCTAACCTATATATATGTATTTATAGGTGTACTCCCACTCTTCCTCCCACACTTGCTCAACCTGTGTGTCTGTCTATACGTCAATTTGTAGATCACTGGTTTTGCAGGATAGTGGAGACTGTAATTCCTTATGGGTGTAGAAAGTCCCATCCTTCTCCCTCCAAGAGGCTGGCACTTTAAAACAGCTCACCTTGCAGTTAGTAACCCAACATGTAACTACTATATCACAAAGGGACTTCAAAAAGTTTTTAAAGTTGATGGCAACATATGCACAAGTGTGTTTAATACAATTGAATGATGGATTGTCATAAGATTTGTAAAAGCCCCCCAATAAAATGATTTTTAAAAGTTTGTGGGGGAAAAAAACCCAAAAGATAATAGAATATCTCACAGACTTTGTATATAACTGTAGCACAGTATCAAACCAGGAAAATGACACTGGTACAAATCTGTTGATTATACTTCAGACCACATTCAATTTGTAACATATGTCTTTAATATACATTCATCTATGTGTGCATGTGTATGTAGCATTACATGCAACTGTATTCCATGTAAAGATTCAAATAACAAGATACAGGACTGTTCCATCAGAACAAAGGAACTCTCTTATGCTGCCTTTTTATATCCGCAGCTTCCCACCCACCTCTATTCCCCAGCAGCTACTAATCTCTTCTCCATCTCAAGAGCTTTGTTATTTTCAGAATGTTAAATAAACAGAACCATACAATATGGAGAACCTGTGGATATCCAAGCAAGTAGATAGCGATAGTTTGCTCCTTTTCATTGCAGTGTAGTGGACAAACTGGAGTCTGTAGAACCACGAATATCTGGGTTGCTTCCAGACTCAGAATATTAAAAATAAAGTTGCTATGAGCATTCATGTACAGGTTACTGTGTGAACAAGTGTTAATTTATCTGAGATAAATGCTCAAGAGTGCAGGGACATGTGATGGGTGAAAATTTAAAAAAAGAAACTTGAGAAATTATTTTCCAGAATGGCTATACTGTTTTGCCTTCCTATTAATTTATGAGAACTCCTTTTGGATACATTCTCACCAACATTTGGTATTATTATTATTATTTTCTATTTTAGTTATTCTTATAGGTGTGCCTTGGGAGAAAGGGCAACGAGTCCAAGAGGAATTACTGAAACCCGAATGAAGGTCGAACATGATAGTGGATAAGAGGAAAGTAAAAGGAAATAGAGGAAAGAACTGGGGCATTTATAGGGGTCTAAATGCAGGCATGTATACATGTACATACATTTATATATAATGATAGGGGAATAGAGCTATATACATATATTTATTTATAAAGTATTATGGCAGCAGATGGACATTCAGCCTACACTCAAGTACTCCCTCAACGCAAGAACGCTTTGTTCTAATAACCCGGCACTCTGTGATGCTCACCTTCCCTGACACCATTGCTGAAGACAAAATGGGTGCATAAGCAAATGTGGTGAAGAAAACTGATGGTGCCCGGCTATCTAAAGATAGTGTCTGGCATCTTAAAGGCTTGAAGATAAACAAGCGGCCATCTAGCTGAGAAGTAACAAAGCCAACATGGAAGAAGCACACCAGTCTGTGTGATCATGAGGTGTCAATGGATCAGTTATCAGGCAACAAAGACCCAAAACAAAACCATATCATTATAAATGAGGGGTAGGGCCGAGTAGAGGCCAAAAGCCCATCAGATCAGTAGTCAATTGGACATCCCCCGTCAGAAGAGCCACAAGGAAAAGAGCGCCAGTCAGGATACAGTATAGCACCAAAAATACACACAATTTTCCCTTAAGTTCTTTAATGCTTTCCTCCCACCCCCACTATATTGACCCCAATTCTACCTTACAAATCTGGCTAGACCAGAACATGTACACTGTACAAATAAGAGATCAAAACACAGGGAATCCAGGGCAGATAAACCCCTCAGGACCAATAAGGGGAGTAGTGAAAGTAGGAGGGGAAGGGAAGGGGAGTGGGGAAGAGTAAGGGGGAACTAATCACAATGATCAACATATGGGCCCCTGGGGGCGGGGGCAGACAACAGAAAAGTGGGTGAAGGGAGACAAAGAGTCGGTGTAAGACATGAAAATAAGTTATAAATTATCAAGGGTTCATGGGGGAGGGTGGGGGAAAAATGAGGAGCTGATACTAGGGCTCAAGCAGAAAGAAAACGTTTTGAAAAGGATGACGGCAACATATGTACAGATGTACTTGACACAATGGATATATGTATGGATTGTGATAAAAGCTTTAAGAGCCCCCGATAAGATTAAAAAAATTTACAAGTTAAAACAATTAAAACTATAAAACATATGCAGTGTTTACAAGGCAAGATGTACAATGGAAAGAGAAGTAACACAATCAAATGACTTGGGTTTATGAAATCTTTCTGCCAATTAAATCATCTGTAAAATGTACCTGATTTGACCATTTCAAAGAACTTTTGTTTTTAACTGTAAAATGTTCAGTATACTCTCAACCTTTAAAAGTCATTCATTTTCTTACCTATCATCTAATCTCCTACTAAATATATACACAGAGAGTTAACTAAAATCATGTTAGTCAAATGTTAATACTATTTATTCTGAGGTTAGACTGAGAGATTTATTGATTTCCTCTTTTCACTTTTTGTGTTAGTTGAATCTTAAATAAGCTTGTATTATATTTATAAACACAATACAGTCATCATTTTTAGTTTTGATAAGGAAAACAACTCCTTGACTATTAGAGCAGCCTTATTTCCCCAATTGGAGAGTCAGCCTAGGAGAGAGAACATCAGACATTCTAGTTTACAGTTTTTCTCTTTGAACTCAGTAGTACCTAATTGGATACTGTTTATCATTAACAGGTGTAAGGTGTCCGTAAAACACGCCCTCGAAGTCTCCTACCTTCACAACAGGATGTCCCCCAGTAGATGCTTTGACTGCCCCTCGGCTACCCTCGGTTTCATAGTGGGCTCGATGATGAGTTTTAGGTTGCACTTCTATTTTCAATTCACATTGTCCAAAATGAGTTGGTAGAGGCCAGTCTAGTGGAGGCAATGAAGATGTGCTATAAACGAAACACAGAGATGCATTTCACCAGGCTATTACTGCCAAGCAGCGATTTGCTTCTTTGTCAATACCAACATTTCTTCCTGTGACCTTTGAAGCAAAGTACAATGTCACTATGAGTTGGACTTGACTAGAAATCAAAGGGTTTGGGCTTATTCCACAATAAAACTTCACTTAACTACTTTTAACACTGGTTATAACTAGGAGTCCTGGTAGCATAATGGTTAAGCACTCAACTGCATACCAAAACACTCATGGTTCAAACCCAATAGCAGTTCTGAGAGAGAAGAGGTTTAGTGATCAGCTCCTGTAAAGATTAGAGCCTAGGAAACCCTACAGGATAATTCTAGTCTGCTGCATGAGGTCAATCAGGAATTGAAATCAATTTGACAGTACACACCATTAACACTGAATAAAGTGGAAAAGCAAAGTAATTCTTTAGTCTGAAGATTAAAATTCATTTTATGCATCATTTTGGTTCTTGTATTTTTTCATAAAGAATGAATCTTCATATTTTATAAAGCTGAACTATGTGTGCTGAATTACAAAAACAATCAGAAGGGAAGAAATTGGCTTCTTAAAGCAAACATGCAAGTCTCTGTAGATGTACGAGGAAGTTTCAAAAGTTCATATAAAAATTCCATTATCTTTCCATTCCATTTTTGAAGCCCACCTCCCACCATATACTTTTTAAAAACCCTCCCTACTAAGTATCTGACTCTGTGTATCTTCTCTGATGTATACCTGTGGGAATGAATCTACTGAACATGTTACTTACTCCATTCCCATTACTCTTTTCTCCATTTCTCTGAACTACTGCTTATACTTAGCAACACAGTGCAATTTAAGGTGAAAATGTAATTCTGAGTACAAGGGAGCTTCAAATGTTTCTGGGACAATGGAATTTAAAGAAAATGTAATTTTTCCACAAAATTTTGAAGCCCTTTCGTACATGTTCAAAAGTATAAGGCCGATCACTGCCCAAACTCTTTGCTGTACAGTCAATTCAAACTCAAAGCCACCTAAGACAGAGCAGAACTGGCCCACATAATTTCCAAGGATGTAATCTTTACAGAAGCACACTGCCACATCTTACTCCCGATGAGCAACTTCTTGGTTTGAATCCCCAATCACTTAGTTGGCAGCCGATTGGTTTATCCTCTCTGTACCATCAGTGTTCTTTCCTATAACCGCAGCTTCTCTAAATGTCAGCTTTGTGGTGCCCCCACCTTTTTTTAATTAATAAGATAATTTATAGAACTTAAGAGGTCTAAAAGTGAGGGTGGGGTAGAAAGGGGGAACCGATTACAAGGATCTACATATAACCTCCTCCCTGGCGGATGGACAACAAAAAAGTGGGTGAAGGGAGACGTCACACAGTTTAAGATATGACAAAATACTAATAATTTATAAATTATCAAGGGTTCAGGAGGGAGGGGGGAACGGGGAGGAAAAATGAGGAGCTGACGCCAAGGGCTTAAGGGGAGAGCAAATGTTTTGAGAATGATGAGGGCAATGAATGTACAAATGTACTTTACACAATTGATGTATGTATAGATTGTGATGAGTTGTATGAGCCCCCAATAAAACGATTTTTTAAAAGCAGGTCTAAAAGTTCATTCTGATAGATTAACACTGACTATATGGAATTAGAAGAGAAACAACTGGGTCTATAGACCAGTTATTAAAGGGACTGAAGCTAGAATGATCTGCATTAAAAGTAACATCTTCTTACAAATAGGTGAAATGGGACTTTTAAGGTCCTTTTTACCTCTGAAATGCTATCCTCCCCACTGACAATTTTCTAAATCATTCCAATATTTCCTTTCAAGTCTGCAGCCTAGCTTTAATCCCTCTTTTGTTTAGCTATTAGTGTTTATTAGTCTGAAACACCAATCAACTCCATCAGTTCTCAGCTGGTTCTACACTTGCTCTGTAGGCTTTAGCAAATCCTTCGAGAAGTGAAGATAATTTTCAGAAGCAAAATAATGGATTTAAAGGTATCAAGCTTACAACTCAAGAGTCCAGAAGTAGCCACTCATTTTAAGATGAAAGCATAAATAGGCCCGAAACTAAGACCATATGGAAACAATATATGATAAAAGCTGCCTTTTCTAATTAAATTACAGACTAGCTTGATTCTATAAATTACGCTGTGACAATTGATGAGCCATTTGGGGAAAAAAAGTCATATGCTATTTTTCATTCTTTATATAAAAATAAATTTTAGCAGGACTCAAAGTTCAAAAAGTAAACTTACTAAAAGCACATGTGAAAGTTTAATTTTTGTTTATTTATAATTATTTTAGAATGGAGCTGGGATAACGCTTCCACCTAAAACACAAATTTCAAGTGCAATATGAGAATCAATTAAATTTAAAAATAGAAAATTTGAAAATTCCTCTAAAGTAAAAAAATCATAAATGTGTAATATCAAAAGACATAAAACTGTGGAGAGTAACACTTGCCAGAAACATGACAAGGCAAATTTTCTTTGTATATTAAGTTCTTAAAAATATAACAAGTATAGGCCCAAGTTACTTTTATTCATAATTCATATCATAATTAATTTTTATAAGCTTTTCTAGATAAGAAAATCCTACCTATAGACTACTCAAAAGGTAATTTATTATCTATAATTCATCACTTATAATATATTTTAAAAATTATAGCCATAACCTATCTAAAGATATTTTTAAGATTCAACACCAAATAAGTATGACAGTTACTTATTTGGAAAAAATTGATCCACACACACACACACACACACACACACACACACACACACACACGAAAGGGTGTTGGTACAGGAAGTAGTCAATATGTATAGATAATGTAGTAAGAGGCTATTAATAACCTCTAACTATGAAAATTGACCAGCAGTCAATTCTATTGACTCACCGAAATATAGGGGTGTGGCCAGGCTTTGGTTTGCTCCAGGTGAAAGGTGAAGGAACTGAAAGAAACTGGTCACCAGATGAATCTTTCTTTAAAGGATACTGAGATCCAAGGCCATCATCTATTGAAGTTTCCCGGGATGGTGATAAATTCCCTTGGTCATCTGAACAGAGCTCTAATTTTCCTGGTATTATGGTAGCTGGATCTTCAGAAGTCTTCCTTGTTTTCAGAGGGATATCAGTCTCTCCACAGTACTGAAATGAAAAAAGTGTAGGGCCAAGGCCTGATCCGCCCTGGACAGAAGTACTGAGCCAGGTATCTTCTGTTACACTTCCTCTGGGGGAATGACCAGGAGAAGGAACTGGTGAGTGGTGGGGCGAGAGGGAGCCTGCATAACAAACCTCAGCACTGGAGTGCCTCCGTTTCCCACAAGGGGAAGTGGGCCTCGATGAGGGTCCGGAGGCTGGCCTGGGGCTCAGCCAATTCTCATCAGTAATACTAGATCTAGGAGAGTGGCAGGGCGATTGCCTGGGTGACAAGGAGTGTCCAAGTCCATACTGCTGATGCCAGGACTCTTCTCCAGGGCAGCCTCCTGGGGAGCCACCAGGAGAAGTCAGAGGGGATCCAAGAGTAAACCGAGCGGCAGCTTCGTTCAATTCTGAGTCTACATCATCATAAATGTGTGAAAGAGACTCACAAGAAGAAGCATCTGAGAACCAGCTCCTAGAAGAGATGCTGCTGGCAGGACTGGGGCTAAGGGAAGACTCCCGGTAGGATGGCTCAAGAGGAAGATAGAGATGATCTCTAGACGGCCTTTCCAAATATTCCCTTTCTGGGTCATTTATGTGTAGGTCATCTTCATGAGCATCTATTTCTTGATGACAATTAGGAGAGATGGATGTGATCTGAATACTAGGACACTCAAAAGGCTTGGGACCACCTAATGGGCTGTATTTAGATTCAGGTATCTCAGAAGTTCCTTCATAGTTTTTGTAACCTTGGAGCTGAAACGATGGTGACAAAACAGAAGAGTGAGGCGGTAATCCATGATGTGGTAAGCAATGTGGTGAGTTTAAAGTAGATGAAGGTGGATCTACATTAAAGATGTAAATGGATTCACAATCATCTGGCTCAAGATCTATGGGGAGAAAGCAAAATAAATAAATATCAGCAAAACCAGAAATTAAAAAATTTAGTTGTATAAATTACTAGATGAGAAAGTAAAATATTTTAACTATCCTGAGAGAAAAAAAGACACATGAATATACAACCTAAGGTCCATAAAGAGTTAGTAGCATGCTTCTTAAAAATGTACTTGATAATGTCTGAAGATTTATCATTATATTTACATATGTAATTATATAGTTATTTTCACCTTTGTATATTTTCTAAAATATTAATCAAAAATACTATAATCTGATAAAATAAAAGAAATAATATCTATACTTATAAAAAATGATCATTTAATTATACATTGGGGGTCTTCCAAAGGTTCATGGAAAGACAGAATTAATAGATAATGAACTTTGTCCACATTCTTTTTAAAACCTCCTTACAGAATGATATAATCATATGCCAGAAGCCCTGGTGACACAGTTAAAGTCTTTGGCTGCTATCCAAAAAAGGTTCGAACCCACCAACCACTCCACCAAAGAAAGATGTGGCAGGTTGTTTCTATATGAATTTACAGCCCAGGAAACCCTGTGGGGATAGTGCTATCCTGTCCTACAGGCTCTCAAAAGCTTGAATAGATCCAATGGCAGTATCATGTAAATTTAGCCTCACCTGGGATCCTGGCAGGTCAAAGTAGAATAAAGGGTAAAATGCAGTCTTTAAAATATTATTTCAGTTATATATTGTTAATTGAAAAAACCCCCAAAACTATGGGCTCAAATGCAATAGAAACCAGTCCACCTCTGCGCTTCACTGTGAAATCTAGAATAAGGTATATTTAACACCTCTAGGCCTCCTATTTCCTGACAGTAAAATTCAGAACTTCATTATTCAGAGAAATTTTATAAATAACAGTTGACAGCTCCTTTTCCCCTCAGAAGTCATACTATCAAGAACTCCTATCTTTGGTCAGAATAGACCAGGTCACAAAAAACTAGAAAGTAACACCATCAGGGGTTTTTAACTTATGATTGATAATTAAAGTAACCCATATCAAACTCAATGCCATCAAGTCATTCCAACTCAAGACACCCCTATAGGGCAGAGCTGAACTGCCTTTGTCAGTTTCCATAAAGGGGGATTTTTTTTTTAAATTCACCTCATGCAGGAGTACTCAACATTTAAAAAAAAAAAAAAGTCTGACAGGTAACTGCCTAGGGTGACTGCTGCAATAAGGGCATTTTGAAACTTCCCCTTTAGGAAGGACTGATTACTATTTTCACAGAGGCAGAAATTAAAAGTACTAAGTCCTAGTACAAGGTGCTGATGGTACACCTTCACTTTTCCCCAGGAGATCAACACCAGGAAATGAAAGACAAACTGTTGATATGTAGGAGAGAGAGAAGCCTAAACCTGTTGCTTCTGCTCAGATGGCATTGCTTCATTATAGTCACACCACGAAGAACAATGCACACTCTTCAGGCTCTTGGTGGTGCAGTCATTAGCCAGATAGAATGCTTTAATTTAACAATGTCCACATGTCCTACACTTTTAAGGTGTTTTGTGGTTAGTAAATATAGTCACCGCAAAGTTTACATGCATCAAACCTAGATCTAAACCACTCCCTAGCTGTGCAAATTTGGACAAGTTCTTGAACCTGTCTGAATCTCGCAGTTTTCTGCTCTATAAAAATGGTAAGAGGTGTGGTATTACTTAACATTACAGGATCATTTAAGACAAGCAGCCTAACACAATGACTAATATTTCAACTACCTTTTGAAAGTTAAGATGTACATGATATTTTATATTTTATATCTTTTTTGACTCTGAAAGGTTTCCTAATGAACCAAAACACCTCTTTAAAGAACATCACTCTCTCACTCCTTGGCTCATTGAACGCAGGAAAGCAGGAAACCTGAACTCCAAGAGGAAACCGAAGGGAGAGGGGAGCCGGGAGGGAGGAGGAAAAAAAAGAGGAGAAAGCAAATGTTTTGAGAATGATGAGGGCAACAAATGTACACATGTGCTTGACACACAATGGATATATGTATCGATTGTGGTAAGAGTTGTATGAGCCCCCAATAAAATCTTTTTTTTAAAGATGAAAACGAGTATTTGACTGGGACAAAAAGCACTTTAAAAACAAACAACAAAAAAAGGAGGATGGGAAGAAATGGGTGACTACTAATAGATATCGGGATTCCTTTTGGAGGTGATAAAAATGTTCTAAAATTGACTGTGGCAGTGGTTACACAATTCTATGAATACACTAAAAAACCCACACTTTAAAAGGGTGAACGGTATGGGATTTCAATTGTATCTCAATAAAGCTCATATTAAAGTAAAATAAGTAAGGATCAGAATGTTAAAGCAAATCTCATTTGCAATAGCAACAAAGCAAAATAAATATAACAAGAAGGGTACAAAACCGACAAAAATGTAAAACACTTCTCATAGAGATGACTAACACTAAGAGGGCAGTTCTCCTAAATTGATTTACAAATTTCAATGTAATCTCAAAGAAACAAGCTCATTTATAACATTATACAAACTGACACTAAAATCCATATGGGTCCGGGGGCTTAAGTGGAGAGGAAATGTTTTGAGAATGATGAGGGCAATGAATGTACAAATGTGTTTTACACAATTGACGTATGTATGGATTGTGTATGTATGTATGAGTTGTATGAGCCCCTAATAAAATGATTTTTTTTAAATCCATATGGGAAAACACAAATGCAAAACAAGACAAAAGAAGACACAAATGCAAGAATAGTCAGGAAAACATTGAGAAAGAAAAACTACAAAGAAAGACTAGCCCTTAAAGGCATTAAAACATACCATGAAGTTTCCAGAATGAAAACAGTGAGCTATTTGGTGCACAAAACAACACATAGATCAATGGAATAGAAACTCCCCAAACAGGTCTAGTCTCAACCACTAGGGTAAAGATGAACTCTTTAATAAATGATGCTGGTGTACACTGGTACAGAAAAGAGCGGGAAACACAGGGAATCCAGGACAGATAAACCCCTCGGGACCAATAATGAGAGTAGCGATTCCAGAGGGGAAAGGGGGAACGTATCACAATGATCTACATATAACCCCCTCCCAAGGGGACAGATACCAGAAAAGAGGCATCAATTAGTATAAGACATGAAAAATATAATTTGTGGATTATCAAGGGTTCATGAGGGAGGGTAAAAAATGAGAAGCTGATGCAAAGGGCTCGAGTGGAAGGAAAATGTTTTGAGAATGCTGATGGCAACAAATGTACAAATGTGCTTGCCACAATGGATGGATGTATGGATTGTGTTAAGAATTGCACAAGCTCCCAATAAAATGATTTTTAAAAAAGAGACTGCATTTATATAAAGATAGATATAATTTAGGCTGGGCTCATTATTATATACCATTGTTATTAGATTCATTTTTCTTCTAATTTAAAAGAAAGGTTAAAACATTTGTGTGGGCCATGACGAGTGTGGCTTTATAGCTACCAAGTCTAGTGTGTAAATTGGCTCTGATTCCAGAGTTTGAAAGCGAGGCTTGGAAGACAGGAAGTTCTGGAAGCGTCCAGGTCAGGGTTTATAACCTTAGTGCACTTAGGGGGGGAATGATTCCTTAATTTTCAATAACTTCTCAATGCAATGTAGGCTTTCCTTACATCATGACCGTAGGCAGAAAGACACACACACCCTTATTGGCAAGACCTGCTACTCTGTCGACCAGTTGAAATTACAGGTATTTTCGGGTCATATTACAGTGGTGGCAGAGGTCTTGTAATAGCATTTCCACTCCTCATGTCTTCAAAATTATGGTGGTTATTAGATCGGCTCGCCACTAGATCGTGTTATTTTAATGTATTACTAAGAAGCGCATATATTAAATTACAATTTTTCATTTAAATACTGTTTTAATTTAAAAAAAAACATTCCATTCATAAATGATGCTGGGACAAGTGGGTGGCCATTTGGAAAAAGATAAAAGTAGATTCTTTTCCCACACTATATACAAAAATGAGCTCAAATAGATTAAGGGTCTAAACATTTGTCTTGGAAAAGGTACAGCCAGAATTACCCTTCAAGACAATACGGTAAAACTTTGTCTCACACACTTTGGACAAGTTGTCAGGAAAGACCAGTCCCTGTAGAAGGGCATTATGCTTGGTAAAGTAGAGGGAGGGGCACGTAAAAAGATGAACGTCCTTGCCAAGATGGACTGACATAGTGGCTGCCAACAACGGGCTCAGACATAAGAACAGTTTAAAGGATGGTACTCCACCAGGCAGTGTTTTGTTTTGTTGCACACAGGGTCGATATGAATCAGAACCAACTCGTTGGCACCTAACAAAAACTACAATATAAAAAAAAATTCATAAATTTCACTATATAAAGTTACAAATTAAGAGAAAACACATGCTACAGGTCACACATTAAAGTCTAATCTCCTTAATATATAAAAAACTTAAAAATTGAGGGACAAAAAAACAATTTGAAGGACAAAGGATCAAAAACCGGACTGGAATATAGAAAGGTGGGAGGGGGGTAGTTAAAAACATGGACAATTCACACACACATACAAAAAAGTATTAAAATGCCTCTCAAACAAACATGAAAAATTTCAAATTTACTCATCACGAGCATACGTAATTAAAAGGAACACAATATTGAGATACCATTTATTGCTTACCAGACTGTTAAAAAAATTAGAAAGTATAACAACACATTTTGTAGACATGGTTGTAGTGAAACAGACATGTTTACATTTCTGATGGGAATACAAAATAGGAGAGCCATTCTGGAAAAGTGTGACAGTTTCTCATAAAATACAACATTAACAAATGGATCCAGTATCACAGACCCTAGAGAAAGTAAAATTCATGTTCATACAAAAGCACATACATGTTTATTCATCCTATTTATAATTACTCCAAAATAGAAACCACCTAAATGCTCCGCAACACTGAGGAACAATCATACAACTCAGCAACAAAACAGAGGAAAAAAACCCTATTATTAAATT